CTTCCAAGTTTTTTCTAAGTCTTTTTTTTTTTCCCAAAGTCTTCCCCAGATTTTTTCCAAATTTTTTTTTTCCCCCCAAGTCTTTTCAAAGTTTCGAAAAGAATTTTTTTCTAAGTTTATGAAAAAAAAAAAAATCCTGCGAAAAGTGATTTTTTTAAAAAAACTATACGTATAGTAAAATAAAAGAGTATGAGTTTGAAAAAAGAAAGTTTCGGTTCAGAAATTAAAAGACTTGCGCGGGAACGAAGGAGACGGAGGGAAGCTAATGAGATTCTCATAGCAAAGGAATATGTGGAAAAAGATAAGACGGAATGTGGTTATCCCTGTGTTGGAGCTGTGAACGATATTGGACGTGGGAAACCGGAAGAAGCCGTGAGAAGATTGAGGAAATATGCCGAGTTGAGAAACAGGATATTGTTAAAATTAGAGGAGGCATTGATCGAAGCGAGAGAAGTGATAAGGAGGGAAGTAAAACCGAAACCGATGAATGTAAAACAATTAAAGTTAATTTTGGGAAAGATTTGTGCGTCTAACGATTATAATCCAAAAAGATCACATCTTTTGAAGAGATATAGGGAAGAGGTAGCGGAACCACCGCCCCAGGTTTTCGAGATAGAAGTAATGACATCGAAAGAAATAAAAAGGGAGTTGAGTCGGTTGGGTTTAAACTTTAAGACAAATATGAGAAAATCTGTTTTGAAGAATATTTTGATAGAGGATGCAAGGAAAAATAAAAACTTTAAGGCGAAACAGATTGAATGGGGTTACCCTATCAGTCGTCGTTGGTTTGCAATGAGCCGGTGGTATTTTACCCGCAGGTTAACGATGGAATCGTTTACGATATGGGCATTTGTGAAGGGGGAGGGTAGCGGTACCCGTTGTATATACTACAGCGGAGTAAGAGAGGAAACCGCGACCGGTTTATAAAAAAAAAAATTTTTTTCATCAACACCTTATATAAATAAAACAATACAAGAAAAGGTTATCCGGAACTACTACTATATCTACTCATTCATTTTTTTCCCATACTCGTTCGGAGTATGGGAATTTTTTTGTTAAATAAATGAGTAGATATAGTAGTAAGGATAACCTTCCGTTTTTAAGGCAAATGCATGATGTATTTCTTGATAACGAAAGACGATCGAAGAAAGAAGCAAATACCCGCGAAAAAGAGGTGAGACAAAAAGCACGCGAGGAAGCAAGGGGTTGGGAAAAAAGTATCGGGAAAGAAGAGGCACGTCGTCGCGGTGTGATTATTCGTGAAAGGGCAGCAGAAAAAAAACGCGTTCGCGAAGAGAAAAAACAAGCCGGCAGGGAAAAAATCCGTCTCCGAGATTTGGGCGAGACGATTATCCAACGGGAACGTAGGCTTCGTAGGAACGAGCGCGAAAGAACAAGACGTAGGAAAAAAAGGGAAGCCGAAGTAAGATATTTAGAGTTGACGCCAATCCAAGAAGCTTCGGCAATACGTGGTATGGTAGAAAAATACAGGATCGAACCGAGAACTGCTTTCGATGTGTTAACGTTTATGGAACTTGTCAAACCAAGAGTTCGGGAACTTTTGGATGGATTACGTGGAAATAGGTCGAGAAATATTAGGTTGGAATTAATTTGTTTGATGGGAAAGGAATTGGGCGATGGAAGAGAGGAGTTGAAGGAGGCAAGTTTTATAACGGGAAATTATAAACTTCACGGTATCGACACGTTGACGGATGAGATTTGGGAACAAATGAAGGAAAAGATTCTGTTAGAATTTTCTCGTTATCAAAAGGTGGAAGTAATTATGTTTTGAAAAGAGTTCAGCGTTTGTATATACACGTTGGAAAATTTATTCCGTTCAAGGGAAAGGGATGTACGGATTCTCTTCCGGATTTTATAAGAAAAAAGCATGCATTGATCAATATGAAAAATACAGACGACGAATGTTTTAAATGGGCAGTAACCCGTTTTTTAAATCCGGTGAAAAAAAATTCCGAGATAATTTCAAAGAAACTTCGTGAACAGGCGGAGAATTTAAACTGGAAAAATGTTGTGTTTCCGACACCGGTTAAAGGAAGATCAATCATTAGTTTTGAAGAAAACAACGGTGTGAATATCAATGTGTTTTCGTGGGATGAAACCGACGGTTTTCATCCGATAAGGATCAGTAGATCTTATTCGTCGGGTGGGACAACCGTGATTCGGCTTTTTCTATGGGACGAACATTATTATGTCGTGAAGAATATGTCGAGATTGATCAGGTCTCAGGTTACAAAAAATGAGCATGCAAAGTATTTTTGCGATAAGTGTCTGAATGGATTTGGGCGCGAGGATCTTTTGAAGAAACACCTGGAATTATGTTTGAACGAGAACGGAAAAAATGTGGGTAAGTATCCCGATAAGGGATCGGTCTGTGAGTTTAATGGAGTAAGAAGGACACAAATTCATCCGTTCGTAATCAGTGCGGATACGGAATCTTTTTTGAAGAAAAAAGAAAAGGTCGGAAGAATTAATAGGAAAAAATTAAAAGGTACGGGAAGGAAACATTTACACGATCACGTTATGAATTCCTATTGTTTTCATACTGTGAGTACGAACGAAGATAGAATGAAGTCGGAAACGGTTCGGAAAACATCGGTTCACGAATTACAATGTATATCGGATAGGTTTGTAGACGATCTTGTTGCAAAGGTACGCAAATTTTTTAGAAATACCCACGATCCACTTCCCATGGAGGAAATGACCGAGGATTTTAAAAAATCTCATCAATCGGAGACGAGGTGTTATACATGCCATCGTGAATTTGTCGGGGAAAGTGATGATATTCCAGAAGTTCGTAAGGTACGAGATCATTGTCATTTTACGGGAAAATACCGAGGAGCCGCATGTAACGAATGTAATCTAGAAATGCAGGCACCGGGGTTTGTTCCGGTTTATTTTCATAATCTCGAGGGATACGATGCACATTTAATTATTCGTGCACTTGCAAGGATTCCGGGTAGGTTTAAGAGTATTTCAAAAACGGAACAGAATTATATTTCTTTTTCAAAGATAATTCAGGTAGGTCCGTTTACGGATAAGGAAACGGGAGAAAAATATAACAAGGGAGTGGAAATTCGGTTTTTAGATTCGTGTAAGTTGATGCAATCATCGTTAGAAAAACTAGCGGGCGGATTGAAAAAAGAGACGGATTTTATTCAGTTGGATCGTTACTGTGACAAAATGGGTTACACGAAGATTCAGCGAGATTTATTAAAACAGAAAGGTGTTTATCCTTACGAGTACATGGACTGTCACGAAAAGCTCGACAGGAGTCGTCTTCCACCGAAAAGATTTTTTTACAACGGATTAAAAATGGAAGATGTGACGGACGAGGAATACGAACGCGCTAAAAAAGTATGGAAGACGTTCGGAATGAAAAGCATGCTGGATTATCACAATCTGTATTTGGTAACGGACACGTTAATTTTATCGGACGTGATCGAAAATTTTCGGAAGGAAAGTCGCGTAACGTACGGGTTGGATTCACCGTGGTATTACACGGCTCCGGGACTTTCGTGGGATGCAGCATTAAAAAAGACTAGAATCAAATTAGAGTTGATTACCAATCCCAGAATGTATGCGTTTATCGAAAATGGAATTCGTGGTGGAATAAGTACGTCTGTAATGCGTTACGGAACGGCCGATAATAAATATGTTGATATTTCGGAAATTCCCGAAGGCATCATAAATTTAATGCGTGATCTAAATTTAAAAATCAGAAAGGATCCAACCGATATTCACGAAAAGGTTTTAGAATTTGAGAATGATGTCTGTAAATTTTTATGGGATTATAGTCAGGAGGACGACGATAAAATAATGAGATACATCGAAAAGAATCTGACGCGATGGGTAACATGTCTTAGCGATCATGGAAAGGAGGACGGCTCTGTATTCATTCCATACTTGGACGCAAATGGTTTGTATTCTTACGTCATGACACAACCGTTACCCTGCGCCGACTTTAAATGGATGTCGGAAGAAGAAAAGGAAAAATGGGATCGTCTTCCGGAAGGAAAAGGTTGTTTTTTAAAAGTGGACTTGGAATATCCGAAGGAACTTCACGATCTTCATAACGATTGCCCACTTGCTCCGGAAAGGATACTAACGGGAAGCGGTGGTATGAAACTAGCACCTAATTTAAACGATAAGAAAAAGTATGTTCTTCACGTGAGAAATTTAAAATATTATTTGGAACACGGAATGAAACTGTTGAAAATTCACGAGGGTGTTATGTTTTCGGAACGATCGTGGTTAGCCGAGTATATTCACATGAATATCGAACTTCGTAAAAAAGCAACGACAGATTTCAAGAAAGATTTTTACAAGTTGATGTGTAACGCTATTTTTGGAAAGACGATGGAGAACGTAAGAAACCGTACGGATATTCAACTGGTCAACGATGAAAAGGAATGGAATAAGTTGGCAAGGAAATGGAATTTTGAAAAAGCGACGATATTTTCGGAAGATCTGGTAGCGGCTAGGATGGCAAGGAAAAATATTTTTTTAAATAAGCCTATTTACGTGGGAGCCACAGTTTTAGATCTGAGTAAGATTCACATGTATAAATTTTTCTACGATTATTTAAAACCTAAATTTGGTAAAAACGTAAAGCTTATGTATACGGACACGGATTCGTTCATCTTGCACGTGAAAACCAACGACTTTTTCAAAGATATTTCAAACGACGTGAACGAATGGTTTGATACGAGTAACTTTCCGAAATCTCATCCATCGAAAATTCCATGTGGAAAAAACAAAAAGGTTCTGGGAAAGATGAAATTTGAAACGGAGTCAACCCAGATCGTTGGGATGGTTGCACTACGTGCAAAATTATATGCTTATAAATTAGAAGATGGTAAGGAAGGAAAGAGGGCAAAGGGAATTAAGAAAGCAGTGATCAAGAGAACGATGAACTACGACGACTTTAAAGACTGTCTTTTCACAGGAGAAAAACAGCATCGCGAAATGGATGTGATTCAAAGTTACGACCATTATATTCGTACGGAGAGGATTACAAAAGTAGCGTTATCATCCGACGACGATAAGCGTCATATTTGTAAGGATGGAATTTATACGCTAGCACATGGACATAAGCGTATCATGTATTAGTCTTGGTAACAACTTTCAATAAAATTTAAGACCGTTCTTAAATTTCTTACAAGTCAATCTTAGTAACAACTTTCAATAAAATTTAAGATTGTTCTTAAATTTCTTACAAGTCAATCTTGGTAACAACTTTCAATAAAATTTAAGATTGATCCGGAAGATCTCGCGAGTAAAATTCAAGTCAATTTTAAGTTCGTCCTACAGTTTTCTTTCAAATTTTTTTTTTTATACAATAAATAAAATGACAGAACCAACAGATATTTTAGAACAGGTAGAACCAAACGCCAGCATTGAAACTCTGGAAAAAACCATGAACTTACATCGAGTTTATGAAAAAAAAAGTAAGATGGAAAGGACGAGTGAATTATGCCAGGAAATTATGCTTTATTTTGGAGGAGCAGTATTCGGGTTGATATTCGGGGGATAATAACATTGAAAGATAATCATGTAGAAAAAGAAGAAGAAGATTCTCCAAGACAAATTTTTAATTTCATACAGATCATCAATCTTGATTCACGGTCTCAACAAGATTAGAGACTGATTTTTAAGAATCTCATGAGTAAAATTCTAATAAATTTCAAGTCTGTCCTACATCTTCTTTCGAGTAAAAATTTTTTTTAAAAAAAAAGTATTTCCATACAAATAAAGAAAATGACTGAAGTAAATCCGGAATCCGTTCCGGTGACCAAACCTTTAGATCCATCGAAAAAAGTTAAAGATCCACGTCGTGTCGAAGCAGGAAAAAGATTAGCTAAAATAAGTCAACAGGCCAAAGCTGCGAAAAAATTAAAGGCCGAAGAAAATTTAAAAGCAGAAGTTCGTGACGAATGTATGACGGAAGGAAGTGGATGGATTTCCGTCGAAAGATTATGTGTGGTTCTCGGACTGGGAATCGGGTTGGGATCGTTGTATTTAGCGTGGAAAAACCTTCATGACAAGAAAAATCCTGCGAAGGATGAAATTATCGATGAAAATAATGACGATGTCAAAAAAGATTCGCAGAAAGAACCGGTCGTCGACTTGTTTGACTGAATAGACTTACAAAAGAATGGATGAGGACCACACTCGAAAAAATAAAAAGGTCCCTGAAACAGGGACCTTTTAGCATATCCGGTAATATGCATCCTGACAGAGTGTTTGTTACCGAACCCGGTTTATACAGTCTTGTGAAAGAAATTAATCTATGAAACCTTTCATAAATTAATAAGGTTTTTCCCACAACGTCTTATAAAAACTCTATACGATAATAAAAGATGAGTATCGAGTTATTTACCGTTCCGGAACTATTAGGAACCGGCGAGATCATTACCGTAAAGTCTGATGATGGAACAGTCTACTTTGCAGCAAGTAAACTAGCGTCGGCACTTGGTTACACCAGACCGAACAACGCTGTCGCGACCCATGTAAGGGAAAGGTACAAAACAACACTTGGTGAAATTATTCCTACACCGATTCGGTGTAGGAGCGATGTTCACATCGGTTCGCGTCCCAACATGATCTTTCTCACAGAGTCTGGTGTATATAATCTTATCTTCAAGTCCAACCTACCGTCTGCCATAAAATTTCAGGACTGGGTAACCGAAGAGGTTCTTCCTTCCATCCGAAAGACTGGACAGTACGTGTTATCAGGCGTAATGCCTGCTATCGATAATGTCAAGGATGAAGGATTACGCCAACTTCCTGAAAAAGAACGGATAGAAGGACGCGGAAAACTAAAATATAAAAGTGATATAGTCAAAGATCCGAAAGCTGTCTCGCGTGGAAAAAAAGGCGGACTGGTCGCACAGGAAAATATCAGGCAGACCAAAAAAGATCTGGAAAGAAAAGAGTTTCAGGTTCGTGATCAAGAGAAAGAAATTACTGAACTTAGAGAAAAGGTATTATATCTGCTGGTTGAAATAGATGAACTAGACGAAAAAATACGCGAACTCGAAGACTAGAACGAACGACTCTGGATCGAAAATAAAAAATAAAAAATTTTTTATTTCTTTCACCCAAGAAATAAAAAGAGAGAATGGATGATCTGAATTTGTTTGGTATTACCTTACTGACCGCAAGTGTTTTAAGTTTTTCATGTATCCTGGATGAGATGACGAGTTTATGGATTCCAGGAAAAAGTGCGATAACGACGGGTCTCATCGCTGGCGGAGGTACGTTTGTCATAACGTATTTAACGAGACTTCGAAACGAAGTATCATCCCTGGAAAATGAAATGGACGAACTTGAGGATGAAAACGAAAGACTTTGGATTGAAAATAAGAATCTTAAAGACCAGTAAAAAATTTTTTTTTTATTTCTTTCTCCCAAGAAATAAAAGAATGTCTGATACTAAAAAAGAACTCGTTCAGGACCTGTACGATGCTGCGCTTTTAACATCCGGAGTCGTTGGAATTTCGTACGTGGCAAAAACAATTGCCGGGAAAAGTCTGGGTGCACCGATGACGTTAGAAGGTGCGATGAAACTTGGTGTGGCCGTGGCGGGAAGTTCTGTTGCCATCGCTTATCTCAAAGACAAGGGTTACGTTCCAAAAACAATCGGTCAATAAACAATGACAACCAATCTAGTAGTCGGTGGATTATTCAATGCGGTCGCCTTTGCAGGCGCAGGATTTTTATTTTCTCATTTAAATCAGAACGGGTACAACGAAGAAGTCCAAAGACATAATCATGCGCTGGAAGAATTAGCGACGGCCAAGGAAAAATTCTACGAATCCGAAGTGAAAAGACGGAACGATGAAATACGACGACGGCAGGAAATCTTAGATGCGAATCATGATATAGAAGAGACGAACAAAGCGTTGGACGAATTAAGAAATTATAATCGTCGACAGGATTTAAATGCGTTAGATCGTAAACCGAAATTCGAAGATTATTATCAACCGTCGGACGAAATGCAAAAATATTTAACGATGACGGTTGGAATTTTAGGTGTTGGCGGTGGGTACGTGCTGACGCGAATTTTTTAAGCTGTAAAAACTTAAAAAATTTTCCTAAGTCGTTACGAGAAAACATTTTAACGTTGTTGACTCGGTTCGGTTCGTTGCATTTCCAGACGAACTTATATTTTTATGTTCGAGACCAGAAACTATGATAACTCCACGACTGTAATCAAATGAAAAGGATGTGCGTACGAGAGCACTTCGTTGTGTGATCGCGAACATCACGACGTTGGCATTACTTGTGTCGTAAAATCCAAAAAAAGATGAGTGAGATTCACCACTTATTTCGAATCCGCCGACTTTAAAAAGAATGAATTTTGCCCTGTTCCGATCGGTAATAGAAATTGTTCCGGTTCTGAGAAAGAGTCCGGCCGGATATCCAGGTATTTGTCCGAGATCATACCGAACGTAATTTTTTCCGAGATCGTTAAGTTCAATAATACCGTTAACATTCTTAACGATCTCGGCCGAATTTCCCTGCTGTGTTTTTTTAATCTCCGTTACTTTTTCTTCGAGACTATTATCCTTGAAGTAGTCGTATCCCATCAATATACTCATTTTTATTTAAATAGAAAATAAGTATGCAACGGCTAAAATTTTCAAAGTGGATGGATTTTGTAAATTTTTATCTCGTAGGACTTGTTACAGAATTTTTAGCAGGACTTGTATGAGTTTTCACGGGACTTGTTACAGAATTTTTAGCAGGACTTGTTACCGAATGTTTCACGGGACTTGTTACCGAATTTTTCACAGGACTTGTTGGAGTTTTCACGGGAGTCTTTGTAAAATTCACCTCATCATTTTTTCCAAATGTCATTCCACTTTTGACCAACGTTAAAATATTATTGTAACCTTTCAAAGGTTTTTGTAAAATCTGCATGTCGGACGGAATGAGAATCAAACCCGGCATGATGGCAAAATGCAGGACGACGTTTGTATCTGTGATCGCCGTACGCATGTTTCGAATGATCGTCGTAATATCGTTCTGAACTATACTGTCTTTTAAAACTTTTCGAAATACGTCTTGGGTCTGTAAACTTTTTGCACCTTGTCCCATGATACTCCAGCGGGTTTTCGCTTGTGCTCCGAGAACTGCGTAGACGTAAACTTCCAGACTCTGTTGAAATAACCGTTGTCCGATCTTTGTTAATCCACGCGATGTTTTTGGAATGAATATTTTATAATCTTCCGTCACATTTTTCGGTAATCTTTTAGTTAAATAGTCGTACGCGATGTACGTTCCGCCGTAACGCGTCCGAACGTAATGATGATTTCGAATTTTACGACTCGTATCGACGGGTAAATCGTAATACCACGTTCCAAGATTGGCATGCGTCGATGCGGTTCGTCGTTCCCACGTTTCGGTCGTCGGCATGTATTTTTTCAAAACGTAAAGATCGTCTTCGTTCAGATAATGATCGAGTAATCTTGGATCTTTCATAAATTTTTCCATCTGATAATGAACGTGAAATTTCACGATGGAGGTGACTAAGTGTGAACCGGATAAGGTATTATTCAAATGATTTTCAGATATTCCGGATTTAAATGTGGCGATGTAACAGGCTGTCAACGATCTGAAATAAGAATTTTGATGATAGTCGAACGGGATTAAATTTACAAAATTTCCCGTTCCCGTGTATTCGGGTGTCGTATATTCTAAATCCACGGGAAAAAAATCTGTTTCCGAGACGTAAACGGGGAACGTATGAAAATTCACGGTAAAGTTTAGATTAGGACGAAATATCATATCGGATTTAACATTTCGCCATCCGTCTTTCCAATATAAATATTTAGTCCATTCTGGATTTTCTAAAAATGTTCCGGATGTAATATCGTAACTGGTGAATTCATCCACCTTGTAAGAAATTTCGGTCGAACTTAACGTTCCATCTTTTACAAACGTCACGTTAAATTCAAACTTGGATAATGTAGCATTGGGATATTTTTGAAGAAAATTAATCTTGAGTTTCTGAATTTCTATCGGATAAGCTTTTCGAACCCTTTCGTAATTTTTTCCGTAATAGTCACGAAAAACTTGTTCTTCTCCTTCCATCTTTTATTTCTTAGATGATATACAAATCCATCAAAGCATTACACGGTGTAATTCCATCGACGTTGGATCTTACGTCGAAATGAAGTTCGTGGTAAATCCCCGCATCGGCTTGCACTTGACTTTCGATATCGTTATATTTCATCGTCGTTCCGAATAAAGGTTTCGTCCCGTCGATGGGAAGGGACGATATGATACTACTCGGATAACCGTCGGGATTTATATTCTGAGACCGGTTTGCTAAATTACAACCGATCGTCACGTAACGTAATCCTTCGTGAATATCCACGGGATGTTGACCCGGATGTAATTCCGAAAATGTCGTATATCCCAGCAGACGATTTAATTTCCACGGATTAAAAGATTTGACACTTTTTCCAAATTTTATCTGTATCCGTCCGTCGGGAAAATCTTTGACGACGAGACCGTGACTTTCTAATTTTTGACGTAATTGTTTAAACGTCCAGTATCCACTATCCAACATGACTTTTTTCTTGTCGACAGAAAAAAAATCGTTGACGCCTTTCCGGATATTCTCGTACATCCAAAATAAAGCAACTGTTTTTACATAAAGTTTGGATGTCGGTGTTAGAATCAACGGACTCTGTAATTTCATCGTAGTTTCACCGTCCCAAATAAAAACTGTAATCTTTTTCATTTATTATAAAACTATGGATACATTGGATCTTGGTTTACGCGAACTGTATTTTAACGTGAACGGCGGTTACATGTCGATGGAAAAACTTTATCGGGATGCAGTGAAAGAAAATATTCCCGGTGTCACGCATGAAAAAGTCAAGGAATGGTTACAAACACAAAATACGTACGTCGTTCACAAACCGACGCGAGTTCATTTTAAAACGCAACGAACGTATGTCGACGGACTTGCCCAACAATTACAATTGGATTTGGTCGATATGCAAACCTTCAGTCTTGCGAATAAAGGTTATAAATGGATTTTAACCTCCATCGAAATTTTAAGTCGGTACGCGTTTGCCGTGCCTGCCTACCGAAAAGGAACGGAACATATGGTTCCGGCCGTTGAAAAAATCCTGGAACAATTTCATGAAAGATTTGGACGCTATCCCAAAGTCGTTCAATTTGACGAGGGAAAAGAATTTTACAATAACGGTGTCAAAGGATTACTGGAAAAACACGACATTCATTATTTTTCGACGCGACTGACTGGGAAAAAAGCAGCGATCGTCGAAAGATTCAATAGGACGTTAAAAACAAGAATGTGGAAATATTTTACCGAACAGCAATTTACGACAAAGTCTAAAAAATGGATCGACGTCCTGGATAATTTTGTTGCGTCGTATAACCATTCCAAACATCGTACGATCGATATGAAACCTGCCGATGTGAATGAAACCAATAAAGATAAAGTCTGGACAAAACTTTACGGCTATCCGTTATCTCATTTTCCAGAACCAAAATTTAAAGTTGGAGATCGTGTCCGAGATCAAATCTATCGCGATACTTTTGTTAAAGGATACACGTTGAATTATACCGACGATGTTTACGTTGTGTCGGAAGTGTTTCGCGGTGATCCGAACATGTATAAACTCATCGATCCCGACGATGACGATCGTGAAATTCAAGGAAGATTTTACGAACACGAATTATCGTTGGATCTAAGTAAGAAATAAACTATGGCCGAATATATTGAACTCGACGAGATCGGACATGATTATGATTGGGATCCGTGGGAAGAGGATGAATACGATGATATAAATTTCGGCGACGACTTGCGCGAAACGACACTGGACGATTTAGATCGACGGAACGATGAAGTATGGTTGTCTGATTTTAAAAGACAGAATGAAAATGATAGGTTCAAATATAGAAAAAAAGAAACCAATTCCTTGTACACAACTGAATCTTCTGTCGGTATAAAATCCGAGTATATGAAAAAACTTTTTGGGAACGACTATAAATTAAATCCGAATGACGGACCTTATTCAAAAGATTTATTTTCCAGATTAAATATCACCCGCGGATACTGGCTGTCATTTGATAATATTGATGTTGCCTTCATCGAAAAAAATGGGGAATACAAACTATCCACAAGTCAAAATGTAACTGTTACCGATAGCCAAAAAAATTTTAGATCTGCCTTTGAAAAAGCAACGAAAGAACATCAAAATAAATTCGTCAGTATTGCGGAAGAGGAAGTTCCAGAGGGAAATTCACCGATCATCAGCGATATTTCCAACGACGTGCGCGATGAAATTCATCGCGAAAATATCGACGATAATCTTGAATTTCACGAACGGGTTTTACAGTTTCATCGCGACGGAAAATTCACCGAACAGGAAGCTAGGGAAATGGTTGGAATAACTGTTCCCAAAGGTGAACCTAGCGAACGGATCAAGTACTTAAAAATAGAACGTCAGAGACTTAAAACAAATTTTGAATCCGAATCCGATCCCGAACGTAAAAATATTCTTCGCGAAGCGTTAGAGATCGTCGATCAAAATATCGATGATGCAAGACTGGAAATGCGCGAACGTCCCGAATCCGAAGAAGGTGTGCACCGCGTCCGTGAAAAAGTTCGCGAGGATGTACGGACGAGATTTGAAAAATTTTAAATTTGGGCTAGGGAAAACCTGGGTGCAATTGCAGCGATCGCTATTTCCATCGCCGGAATTATTACGACCGTCGTCGTTGCCGGAAAAAAGACGTTGGTCGGTGTTGCAAAAGGGGTGGGCGAAGTTGGAAATGCGTTGGGAAAAATTGCGAAAGCTGCACTTCCCGTTCTAATTCCCATCCTGAATATGTTAGCGACCGTTTTAAAATGGGGTGCAAAAGGAATAGAATTTCTTGCGAAAAACTTATGGATTCTTGCTATCTTAATCACTGGATACTTGTACAATTATTTCAAGAAAAAATAAAAATTTTCTTTTATTTTTCATAAAATAAAAGAATGGAAACACGTACCCAAGAACTTAACCCTAGTTTTAATCGTCGATCCAGAACGGAACTCACGGGGAATCGAACAAGACATTTGATCACGTTCAATCCGAATTCGGCAAAACCCGGGGAAGAAATCTATGTGAATATTCCCAAACTCAAACCGGATTCTGTTCTCGTTCCCGATAGTATGGCATTAATTTTCGACTTTAAAAATGCCAACGAAAAATCATGGTTCCGAAATAACTTGGGAAAATTACTACAAAAAAGATTGGAGATTCGTCTTGCCGGTGAAAAAGTCTACAATAACAGCGGTGAAAGTTTACTGGAAATTTACAAAGACTTGTGGATGGATGAAAAACAACGCGCGGATATGATCCAGGACGGAATTACAACCGAAGCCGTTCGTAAGAAAATTTCCAAGGACGACGAAGCGAATGCTGATGCCGATGCGACTGCACTGTTTGGAATTTTCGGGACGAAACAACGGTTAAAAATTACAAAGATTTTAGGCGATCACGGATTGTATGCACCGTATCATTCCGCCAACGATCTTCAATATGTGATCACGTTACCACAAGCTTCCGAAATCATGAATGCACAAAGCGGAGAAAATGTCGAAGGGTATTCTTTGGAAAATTTAGAATTAGAATACGAAAGTATCGAAAATGTGAATCTTGCACGAAAATCCGAAAATCTTTACGGAGCCGAACGCGAATTATCTTTTGAACATGCCACGTTGATGAAAAAGACCGAATGGGATAAAAGTTTAACGATCGTCAACGAAACCGTCAATCTTCCACGACGAAGTATGAAAGCCATCGTCATGCTTTTTACGGAAAAAACACCGACCGATAGCGAAGAATACGTCTTCCCGAATATCGACAGGGTCAAAGTCACAATCGAAGGTGTTCCGAATGTTGTGTACAGTCAGGGAATAACGAAGACGAGGATGTACGAAGAAGCCAGACGTCTTTTTGGTACCGATCCGAACGGACAACAATCCCTGATCAAATTTTACAAAGATAAAAAATTTGCATTGGTCATCGACCTGCGGACGGCAAACGATGCAAAAACCTATGGAAACGGAGTGAAAATTCAAAATACACAATCCGGAATTCTCATCGAAATTACGAAAAAAGCGACGACTGCCAATGTTCTCTGTTACACGTTCGTTCTTTCGGACGGTGTGATCAAAATGGTCAACGGACAATTGAGTGGTGTACGATATTAAAATAGGTGTGAATCACACCCCTTTTTCATATTTTTTGAAAATATGAAAAAATACCAAGAGATCCTATTCTGTTTTTTCATCCTCCCCTTTCACGTCTTCTGTTCCCTTTCTTCCATACACGTGTTTCACCGTCGTCACACCGCCACTTAAAATCCCCAAATACGGAATGTACGGTGATATTCTTTCCACGAGACTTTTCACGTCGCTTTTTAATAATTTGTCCTGACCCAATTCCTCTTTTAATTCTTCGCCGCTATCGATCATGTGAAGATTTTCCAACAATCCCGAAAATTTTTCGATCAATGTTTCCGTGAGTAAAACGTTTGCCTTTTCACGTTGATTCAGAGTGTATTCCCGCTTGATCTTAAAAATAACCTTGGGCGGTGCTTTTTTCAAATAATTTTCGCACTGTGTAATTTCACCTGTATTCGATAACCGGATTAATTCGGCACGCGTATCTTCGAATAGTTCTTGTTCCGTTTTTTCATGGGTTGTATTCTCTTCCCCTTCCATTACTTGTACTTTATTTTATAATGATACGGATGAATTAAATTTATTTCCAGGTACGAATATTTATTTTCTTTTAACTTTTCACGAATAGATCTTAGTTTCTGCGGATCCTCGTCCCCCAAATATTCGTCCAGAATAATTTTCATGTCCTGCCTGTTCGGATTGTAAAACGTTACCAGTTTCTGAATATTTTCGCGGTACGGTTTGGCAATCGATGTCAACTGCTGTGTGATCACGATCGTTGAAATCTGACGATGACGTGCACCGAATCCTAATTTCACCAATTCGCTCGTACGATTCTTTACGGATTTTGTACTGGCACAATCGTCCAGGATAATCAATGCGTTATCTTTTCCCGATGCATAATTCACGACGGATTTTAACAAATCTTCCACGTCGTCGTGATGACACGGAATGACAAAAAAGTTGGGATCGTCGTAAATAAAATTCCGATCGTATGTCCTATTCCAATGATACGTTGGACAGATTAAAAAGATTTCGGAAAATTGACGAAAATACGTCGTCTTCAACTCTTCGATTAGATAATGTGTTTTTCCACATGCCGTCATTCCTACGATGATCATGTTAAACGGGTTCATTTAATTAAAAGATGGGATGTCTTTCTTCAAAATCCGGCGAAACTCAAAAGCAGAATAAAAATCACAAGAGACGTAAAATGTTTAGTCTGGGATTCGGATTCGATCACGGGGATGCGACGACGAGCATTCATACACAGATCGGATATTCTAGTATGACCGTTAAAAAATACGATGAAAAACAAAAAGATGAAATTATTCCTGTGGAGAATCTTATTATGGACGAGTCTAATCGGCTGTCTTCTGATCCCGATCACGTTCGAACTGTTACTGATAGTAATAATCCTGAATAAATTTTAATTTTTTTAAAAAATTAAAAATTTGTCACGCGGACGGTGTGTAAACCGGTAATTCTTCTTTTTTCTTTTCTTTCTCGCGACACATTTTTATCAACTTTGTACATACGAATAACAAGATGGATAATGCAGACGATGCACAGATGGCACATGTCGCGTACAAGACGTCGGCTTCTCTTTCTGATAATTTTACGTTTGGAATTTCCGTTTCGTTACTACCTACTAATTTCATCGCGGAATATAAAACTGTCGTTGCTGGATTCATTCTTTTATTTAACGGAATTTTAATGTATTTTACATTAATTTTTTTTCTAATCTCGTAAAAGTCTTTTTCTCGGTACCCTTGGTTTTTCTTCCAATATACCGGCCTCGTATAATTTTACCTGAATACAAGTTGTCTTGTCGGATAAAAAGATTCCGTCGATTCTAACGATCGCATCGAGATGAAATCTCTTATTCAAATATTTTTTAGGATCGATCGGACCGTCTCCATTCGGTTCGTAGATTTCCGTTTCGTCATTGATCTTAGGATATAAAACAGGAGAGTTACCTTTCCGATAAAAACATTTCATTATCTTCTCGCCCGACTTATCAACGTGCTTCGCACATTCTTTTTCTAATAATTCTAAAACGGAGATAAACTCCGGCTTTTCCCAAAAGGATAGGGAAACGGAAAGATTTTCTTTACCGTACTTGTTATTTTCGTCCACTCCGTACGACAAACAATCCGCGACCTTCAAGAGAAGAGGACAACGATCGCATGCCGTTAATTTAATTTTTCTGGATCCGAACCTGTTTTCGACACCGTCTTCGAAACGGAACGAATCTTTGGTGAAGTCTGAGACTTTGGTGATAGACATCTTTTTCCTTTATTGTATTTTTTTTATTCATATAAATAAAAAATTTTTTATTCATATAAAGAATTTTTTTCCTATCCATACACCAGAGTTCCATTGTTTATATAATTTTCCACTTCCTCTTCCGTATTATCAACCTCATTAGGACAGATGAGTATTTCGATCTCGTCGTAACCACCATCTTCCAGATAACGATCATAACCGAGAATTTTTCGCAAAGCGCACGTATTCTCCCTCTCTTCGTTTTCCAGATCCAACCTGAATTCAAAACTCTTCTTTTCCATTTCCACCCTACGACATAAAATTTCCCAATTTTTTCCAGATAAAAGTTTATCCTTAATTTCGTCGACGCGACGGCCCTGCTCTTCCAAAAAAAGTTTCTTCTCCTCCAACCTGGCGCGCTTTTCTTGCACCCTTCGTCTCTTTCGTTCCGACGCAAGTCTTTTAATTTCTGAACCAAAACTTTCTTTTTTCAAACTCATACTCTTTTATTTTACTATACGTATAGTTTTTTTTAAAAAATCACTTTTCGCAGGATTTTTTTTTTTTTCATAAACTTAGAAAAAAATTCTTTTCAAAACTTTGAAAAGACTTGGGGGGAAAAAAAAAAAATTTGGAAAAAATCTGGGGAAGACTTTGGGGAAAAAAAAAGACTTAGAAAAAACTTGGAAGAAAATTCTTTTTTTTTTTTTTTTTTT